CATAAGCTTCCTTTTACATATATCTCATGACTTTGATTTTACACAATTTCGTTCTTTTAATTGAAGTGTAGTTAATTTAATTTAGTTTAATTCAAGTGTACAGCAAAGTGATTCAGTTATACATATATATATTATTTTTCAGATCCTTTTCCATTATAGGTTATTACAAGATACTGAGTATAGTTCCCTGTGCTATACAGTAGGTCTTTGTTGTTTACCTGTTTTATATCTAGGTGTGTGTATGTTAATTCCAGGGTCTCTTTTAAAGGGCACTAATCCCATTCATGAGGTCTCTACTCTCATGACCTAATCACCTCCAAGAGACCTCCCACCTCCAAATACCATCAAATTAGGGATTTGATTTCAACATGAATTTTGGGAGGACACAAATATTCAGTATATAGCAGAGAGAAATCTATTAATGGAGGGGAGTGGATACAAACATTTAGAAGACACCAGCCCTTCCTCAAGGGGGCTCTGGCTTCAATGGAAAGAACACAGGTCAAGCAGCCCCGTAATTCTGAGTTCACATCCCAGCTTCACCACCTTTCCATGCTATGACTCTTGGCACCTTCTCTAAGCTTGGTTTTCTCACATGAAAATGGGGAAAATAATTCTCACGCTGCAGATTTTTGGGGCAAATTAGGGAAATGGATATGGAATGCTTGGTGCTATACATAGCACTTGATACGTGCTGGATAAAAGTTACATTACCACACACACAACTCTTTAAAAAGTAGGGAAAAAGGGCTTCCCTGGTGGCACAGTGGTTGAGAGTCCGCCTGCCGATGCAGGGGACGCGGGTTCGTGCCCCGGTCCGGGAAGATCCCACATGCCGCGGAGCGGCTGGGCCCGTGAGCCATGGCCGCTGAGCCTGCGCGTCCAGAGCCTGTGCTCCGCAACGGGATAGGGTTAGATGAAAGCAGTACTGAAAGGATCAGGTCATGGTGGCCTTGAATGCCAACCTAAAGCACAGAAACATCTGTGAGCAGTGGGGGCTTCTGAGCAGGGGAGCATCATGAACCGAGCTTCCTTTTCAGAGCAAGATCATTTGGGCTTCCAAGAAAGAGGAAGAAGATGGAAGGTGGGAGGAAGGAACTCATGATTGCCTTCTTGCCGCTGAGGTAACTTCACTCAACCTCTTCCCCACTCCTGGAGGCTCTGCCCTGCCGCCTGGGCACCTGGAATTTTGCTTTAAGGCCTGCTTCCTTACAACCTATGACCTATTCCACAGGACCACAGGTGCCTAGCCACTCGGTATTCGCAGGCTTGGCCGTGTTAATTACGAGCCTCTTGCCGCGCCAGCCAATCAGACAGCAGTTGGGGGTGGGGTGGGGAGGAGTCTCTTTTCCAAGGCTCCTGCTTTGTCCTGCAAAGAATCCTGGTGCCTTCTCAGAGGCGGTTGACAGAGAGAAGCAGAAAACGAGCAGGCCTCAGCTTCCTGGGCCTGGCTGCCCATCCTGGAAACTTGGGATTTGGGAAAGGTGCAGCCTGCCAGCCCGGCAGACACTAAAAATCACAAAAAGACCAGACCTTAATTTACGCTGATGGACTCAATGCTCCTCGAATGTGTAGCCCTCCTCCCAAATAAACCTGCCATGTGGGATTCTGTGGTCCACTGGCTCTAGCATTGATTTTCTATGGTCTGTAGCTCTCAGACTTGCAAAGTGCACTTCTGAAACAGGAATTTAGAAGGACAAAGTCAGCTAAAGCAGCGGATTTACCATCTTCTCTACCCTGTCTGCTCCACACTACAATCAGGGAGAATGCCAGTGTTCCCAGAAGCAGTGTGGATAGAATGGAGCTTGGCGTGAAGACGTCTCTGGGGCATGGGTAGGGACAAAACAAGCCCAGCCTGGAGTTCTGATTAACCAGGCGGGGTGAGGACTGAGTTTCGAGTTAAGGAGATGGAGATGGGTTCATTCATCCTACAAGCATTTCCTCAGGGCCTTTCTGTGCTAGTCTGTGCCGATGCTGGGGGGATTTGAGACAAATAAGACCCATTCCAGCTCCTTGGGAGCTCAGAGTCTGGCAAAGTCATCAGTTACAGCCCAATGTGATGGCTGCAATAAGACACAATGTTAGTGAGGGAAGGAAGTGATATCTAGGAGGCAGAGGTTCCTGGAAGAAGTGACATACAGGCTAGGCTTTGAAGGCTGAATAAGAGGTCACCAGCAGAGCAGGTGGGGAAATAAATAGCTTATGCCAAGGCATGTTGGTAGGAAAAAACAGAATATGTTTTCTTCTGGAGATGACAAGTCATTTCTATTGTTGGGACATGGGGAAAATGGAGACAACTGGTGGCAGGTGAGGTGGGACACGCAATCAGGGGCTAAAAAGAGGGTCCGGACTGGGAAGAGTGAATGTAGGTCACGGCGGAGTCAGAATTAAAATTAGCTTTGGGATTTGGATGCAGGTTAAAAGGAGATATTTAGGGGTAACAGATTGGCTGGTAGCAAAGTAACAAAAATACACGTGCTTTACCTGTGTTATCTCATTTAGAGCTCAGAACAAGCCTATGTGGTCAGTGGCTATTCTTATCCCATCTTACAGATGTGAAGATGGAGGTACAGGCAGGTCGACTTGTCCAAGTTCTCACACTTGGTAAGCGGTGGTTGCCAGGGGCTTAGGGAGGGCGAATGGAGAGTTAGTGTTTAAGGGGTACAGAATTTTAGTCTGGGAAGATCAAAAAAGTCCTGGAGATGGATGGTGGTAATGGTTGCACAACAGTGTGAATGCACTTAATGCCGGAACTGTACACTTACAAATGGTTAAAGTGGTAAATTTCATGTCATGTATATTTCACTACAATAGAAAAAAAGAAAAGAAAAAGGAAGGGTGTGGAAAGATGCAGGTATTGTATCTCTGCTACGGGCAGGTGGGGGGAAGGTTTGTCTCCCCTGGCCAGGTCTGCCACAGCGCAAGAGGTGAACACACTCGGGAGGGCTGGGGACTGGCTTTGCTGCTCAGGGTGCGGCTGGGGACAGGTCTCATTGCCTTTCTCGGAAAACCAAGGAAGCCGGCTGATTCACAGACTTCCTCTAGCATCTGACCTCTGTGGTTCTGCCTTATTAGGAGGGCTTGGCTCATGCAGAGGATTGAGGCAATAGGCACAGAAAAGCCAGGCCTTCAACATACTGGACCTTTCCACACTCTGACTTGCAATTATGATTCAGAAGAAGGTGCCTTACAGGAGTTACATCAATGAGGGTCCCAGCATGAAAGACATGCCACCCACAAACTGGGTCACAAAGGAAAGTTTATTAAAGAGTCCATTTATAAAGGTGTGGGCAGGGCTTGGGGAACCAAAGAAGGAGTAGTATTGGCAGAACTGTTACCACCCTTAGAGGGAGCCCTGAGAGAGCTGGTATGGGGAAGGTACCTTTGGCAGGGACAACCCAGCAGGAAGGAAGCTTGGGAAGTGAATACCCAGACCTCTCTCTTCTGCCCTCAGTCTCCTGCCAAGGACCCCCACTAACCAAGCCCAGCAGGAAGCCAGAGGACAGGAAACCCATCAGTGAAATCCATACCGGCCAGCCTCCAGAACCAGAGCAAGGTAAAACCTGGCAAGAAAGTCAGAGGGGCAAGTGGTGGGGCAGATCCAAAGTGAATCAGCACCAAACTCTTCAGTGGCCTGGCCAGGGCTGCTGAAAAGCGTCCTCTCTGGATGACTCCCACCCTCTTTCAAAGACTGACCTTGGACCCAGGGTGGTAAGGGGCACTGGGCTCTTTCAGGCCTGGAGGGGAGCTGTGTGGTTTGTTGGAAAGAGCCCTGCTTACTGCTTACTAGTGTGAGAACAGTGGCCAGGGGCCTAAACCTCCAAACCATGCATTATGTGTACACTCATTCAGACGTTTGCTCAGCCAGTACCACCTGAAAATGACTCAGTGCCCAGCCAGGGCTATAGGAGGCACTGGATAAAGAAATGTGGAGCAGCTCCGGCCACTCTTAACTTTAACTTGTGAAGTATGCCTCAAGCCAGCCAGTGACGGGGGTCCCTCCACCAGCTCTGTGACTCCAGAGGCTGCTCTCAGTCACCTCCTCTGTAATATGGGTCAACCACCTTCCCCTGACCCCCCACCGCCGCAGTTGTCCTGAGAATTCAAAGAGAAATTTTCAAAGAAAAGCAGGAGGCACTGCAGCTGGCATAGAGTGAGTGCTCCACATTTGGGAATCAGTGGCCTTGCTAACAAGCATCCACTGCCCCTCACGCATTCACCACCCTCTTACCCTGTTTTGCTGCTACTGTTGTCATTATATCATACTTGCATTTGTTGAGGGGTGGAGAGGGGGCGGCTTTTCTTGCTCCTCCCTGAATCCCCATGGCTTGGGGCCGAGTTTACAACTGCCAACATTTATAGTGCCACCGACGTCACATGCACTTAATCTTGAGGACAGCCCTGGTTGGTAGGCTGTAGCACTAGAGCCATTTTACAGATGAAGAAACTGAGCCCAGAGAGGTTAAGCCGCTTGCCCGAGGTCACAGAGTCGATTAGCAGCAGAGTCGGAGTTTGAACCCTGGAGTCTGGCCCTCACATCCGGCGCCAGACCGCGGGTATCAGAAGGAGTGAGTGCGGGAATGAATCCACCGGTCAATCAGTGATCGCACGGCGGATGCGCGCCCGTCCCCTCCCCCAGCCGCGGGGGCTTGCCGCCGGGACAAAGGCCCTGCTGCGGCCGGACGTGGGCCAGCCGGGTCCGCGCTCAGGGGGCGGGCGTGGGGGCCTGGCCCTTTAAGGGGGGCGGGCCAACGACGCGGAGGGCGGGCCGAGGGGCGGGTCGGGGGCGGGCAGGGGGCGGGCGGCGGCGGGGCCGTAGGGCGCGCGGAGCGAAGGGCGGCGGCGGCGGCTCGTGCTCGCACCGGGCTCTGGATCCCGCTCGGCCCCCGGATCCCGCTCGGCCCCCGGATCCCGCTCGGCCGGCTGTTCCCGGCCCGCTGCGGCGCGCCCCAACACCCCGCGTTCCCCGCACCCGCACTCGGCCCCTCGGAGGAGAGGCCATGCCGCCGCGGCGCAGCATCGTGGAGGTGAAGGTGCTGGACGTGCAGAAGCGGCGGGTGCCCAACAAGCATTATGTGAGTGCCGCGCGACCCCCACGCCCCCTTGAGCCCGTGCCCCGTCGGGGGCGACCTAGAGCCCCCACGGCTCTGAAAACTTCTGCCTCCTGCTCTTTCTCTCCCACCTCCTCTCCCCTCTCGGCACTGCTGCTGCGCGGCCCGGGTCTCTCCCGGCTCCTCCCTCTCTCCCCCTCCCCCTCCTCTCTTTTGCCCTGTTCCGCTCCTCCACCGTGTCCTCCCGCCTCGTCCCCCCCTCGTCTCTTTGCCGCCTCTCTCCCCCTCTCCGTCTGCTCCTTGTCCCCCCCACTCCCGTCCTGCCCATCCGTGGAAAAGTCTGGCCGGTGTAGGGGACAGAGAGACAGAGAGAGGCGCCTGTTCTCAGGCCGCCCGTCCTGTCCCTCCTTGTCTAGAGGCGCTCAGACCCGCCGTGCTCAGCCACAGGTAGCCCCAGCAGGGATCGCCAAGTTGGCTCCTTCCTTTTGGAGGAGCCAGCCGGTGCGATAGAGATCTCTGGGAATGGATCCTTTGAGTGCCTGCACCATTAAAAAGTTTTTTTAAAAAAGAAAAAGATCCCTGCCCCTTCTCTCCAATAACTTCTGTTTAAAAATGTATGAAAGTTTTCTCCTGGTTATCTCCCTGGCAAAATGGGAATCTTGTTTAGAGCTGGCGGGGACTTGAAAAAATGGGCCAGTAGCCTCATTTTGCAGATGGGACCCTCAGATGGGCTGAGGCGCAGGGAGGCTACAGGTTCTGGTACAAGGAGGAGCTGCATTCGGTTTTCCCTGCCTCTGGAAGGTGTACCTGGGGTAGATGGTGACCCGCCAGATGGGAAGTGGGTTCCACACCAGCCTAGGAGCTGAATCTGTGCGTTCAAGGGGCCCTTGGACCACCTCAGAAGTTCTGGGTAGAGGGATAATGGGGCTGTGGGGTATTGGGCCCAGGTGAGGCCTTGGGGAGGCCTCTCTGCAGGAGGGAAGGGGGCTATGGTGTCTCTGGTGGTGAGAAGGGAGCAGTAGCAGCGCCTAGCTGCAGAGAAGTTAACCAGGAAGGAAAAAAGAGCAAGAGGGAGGGAAAAAAAATCCTAACAAAGAAGTATAGAACAATAAAGAGCAAGGGGCGTTGGCTGGCTAAATTCAGCTCCTTGACCTCCCTGCAAGTCGTCTTTGGATCTCTTTTCTTAAGAGGCTCGTTCTTATAAAGCAGATCTGCATGCCTTACACGAATAGTCTATACAATTCTGAAAGGAGATAGCGGGGAATCCACTCTGCACTCACTACGAGAAAGGGTGTGCTGTGTGAGCCTGTATTGTTATTGGCTGGGCAGCCAGTTATTCAAGCCTTAGCCAGGAGGTGGGAAGCTATTTCCTGGACCTGTGGCATCTTTAAATAGAGTGAAGTTTCCCTTGATTCCAGAGCTGGGCTAAATTGTCTCCTCCGCACCCCGTTTCTTTTTAACTGTTTCAAATGCTGCCAAATCTTGGTTCCTTGTTTGAGCCTGTTGAGTGTATAACTGAGTTGCCTCTTTGCTATGAAGACAGTTTTTACCAACATGGCAGACAGGAGGAAGTCTGAAATTCCCCATGCTGCCTCCTACCAGATATGTGAGCTGGGAACACCAGAATACATACAGCCTCCAAGAAATGGGCATCATCATCCACTCTCTCCTGTCCTCTCTCATCACACGACTATCAGGCACAGGTTCTTAAGCCCATTTGACAGATGAGGAAACTAAGGCTCAGAAAGATGAGGTCCTATGCCTGAGGTCACAGTCAGGGCCAGAACAGGAATGTAAATCAAAGTATGTTCAACTCCAAAAAGTGTAATTTCACCAGGTCACACCACTTTGCAGATTTCATACCCTGTAGTTTCCCTACGCAAAGTCCTCTTAAAAACTGGGAATTTTGCCATCATTTGTGATCACTCTGAGGCTTTTCATTCTGTTTAGATCCCTCCCTGCCAGTTTTTTGGAGGTGTGGCAGCTTTGAGGGGCATCTCTGTAAGCCTTCACCCACTTTTTAGGGGCTCCTTCAGACAAGTCTCTAAATATTAACATGGAATTGGGTTTAAATCTTGGCGTCCAGCTTGCTGTGTAGCCTCTCTGACCCTCAGTTTCCTCATCTGTAAAATGGGGGTAATGGTACCCACTTCCTAGGAGAAGGGATCTTGTGACTGCCAGGGTTGACATTCCATAACCGTTAGATGCCTGCCTCCCTGCCCTGTGGTATCCATGTTACTCTGACTGGGAACATGCCAAAGTCACATGAGGAGGGATTTCACCAAGAATTTATTTTTCTGCATGTGGGTTTAGGCACTCCTGTGATTCAAGGGAGCCCCCTCCCTTCTAGCCAGCCTTTTGGGTTCATCGGATGAATAGAGGCAATGGGTTGAACTGAAGCCTGAGTCATCCACAGGAACAGAGAAAGTTAAGTGCTGTGATGGCAGGAAACCCATCAGCAACTGCCAGTGACCCCTGCTCCTGTTTTCAAACCATACCTGCCCCTGCCACTCTAGAAAGAATGGGCATGGAGGTAGCTATTGGCATGGGCCTGGACTTTTTTCCCATTTGGTGTATCCTCCTCTCTGAAGTTGGCCCAGCCACTCTGGAGAGATGGCATGAGCAGAGGAGTTGGACAGCCCTGGGCTCGGCCACTTCCTGCTGCGTGACCTTGAGCTGGTCAATTTACCTCTCTAAGCTTCTATAATCTGAAAATTGTAAATAGTGCTGCGTCCCTCTAGGGCAGAATTTCTCAGCCTCAACAGGGTTGATATTTTGGGCCAGATCGTTCTTCGTTGTTAGGGGCTGTCCTGTGCATGGTAGAATGTTCAGCAGCATCTCTGGTTTCTATCCCCTAGGTGCCAGTAGCATCCCCCTCCCTAATTGTGACAACCAAAAATGTCTCCACACATGTCCCCCAGGAGGGCGAAATCACACACACCCTGACTTCTAACCGCCCTGCCCCAACCACTGCATGAGAATATACAAGTTAGTGACTGAGGCTTCCCACCACCTGCTCCCTATTTACAGCTGCTTCAGCCTCCACCTGTCTCATCACTCAGTTGCCTGGGAGCGAACAGGTCACAGGTGCTGTAGATCTCGTTGGAGAGCTTCACCAGGAGCTCAGGGCTGCCCATCAAGGCTGGGCCACTTGTTCCACCTTAAATGGCATCTTCTCCATGATCAGGGCGGCATCTTCATCACGCCTGGCCCCAGCCTCCTTCACCTGTGGGCAGAGACATCATCAGTGGGCCCAAGGGCAGAGCCATAGGCCACATCTGGAGAATGCAGAGGCAGAAGCTCCCAGGGCCTCTGAGATCCCCATGGGTGGGTAAGGGATTATTGTTGGCAGTAATATCAACAGTATTATCATCTGGAGAAAGTTTCCCTGGAGCCACTGCACTCTGTCTGTTGGCCTTTCTCTGCCTGCATCTTTCCTGCCGTGGAGCCTAGGGCTTTCTAAATGAATGGAAAGGGGGCTTTCAGGTGTGACACCCTGGGAGACCCTCCCCAGCTAGGTTATCTTCCAGCTTGAGGGGAGGAGGAAGTGCTCCCTGTAGGTTTTGCAGGGTTTTTTTGGATCGCCCCATTTCCAGCACTGGAGAGGGAGGTACAGAAGCCTTGGGGTTAGAAAAAAGTCTCCCTTAGCAGGGTCCAGGAAATACTGGCTTGCTCTGTCTTAAGATCTTTAGATGTTAAGAAGAGCAAGATGCTAGAAGTAGTTATAGAAGCAGTAATCTTAACAGCTGAAATTTAATCCATTGTTGTGGGCTAGGCGCTGGATTAAGCTCCCTATGTGTATTTAGTCATCACAACAGCCCTTTAAAATAGGTACTTTTCTGATACACTAATACACGATTTCAAATATACAGATACATAGAATAAGTTAAATATCTGTCAGTCTACCATCCAGCTGTCAGATCTTTACCTTTTGCCCTATTCATTTCAAATCATTTTTATTTTTATTTTTTAAGAAATGAAATATTGCACATGCAAAACCCCCTGTGCACCCACTCCATCACCACACCCCCGAAATAAAAACAGTATCCTACATTTGGTGCTTGTCATTCCCATGCACATTTTAAAAATAGACCAATAGATATGATTTTTTTATTCAGTAGCTTTACTGAGGTATTAATTACATACCATAAATTCACCTATTGTAAGTGTACAATTGGCTGATTTCTTTAGATAACTGTATGGAGCTGTGCAGCCATCATCACAATCCAGTTTTATAACATTTCCATCACCCCCAAAAAGATCCCTGTGCCCTGTGGCAATCAGGCCCCTTCCCAGCTAGGCCTCATGTACCTTTTAATGTTTGTACCTTTTCAGCAGTCCCCAAGATCTTGTATTGAAAGTTTTAAAACTACAAAACATTCCACTTTTGAGACCTATGTTGGTACATGTAGCTTCAGTTCATTTTAACTGCTGTTTCATATTTCATTTATGAATATACCCCTGTTTATTTGAGCTCCTGTAGGAGATTTTTAGGATACTTTCTTGTAGCCGCTTCCTTGCACGTACAGCTGAGGCGGGATTGCTGGCTCTTGGGGTTTGTGCATTTTCACCTGTGCATTTAACACCCCTGGGAGCAGTGTCTGTGGGTCTCTTTGCTCTGGCTCCTCGCTAACACTTCGAACTGTCAGACTTTTTAGTGGGTACGGAATAGTATCTCATGGCAGTGCTTGTTTGCATTTCCCTGCTTGCTAGTAAAGTTATGGATCTTTTCACACCTTTGTCAGCCTTTTGAGTTTCCTCTTCTGTGAATTAATTGCCTGTTTTATCTTTTGCCCCTTTTTTTGGTATATTGAGTTATTGGTTTTCCGTTCATTTATAGGATTTATTTATACACTCAGGATCCTGGTACTTCAGATAGTTACGTTAGTGTTGTCGTTTTCCCCTTGAGACTGGAGGCTCAGAGAAGTACAGACACATGCCTGAGGTCACACAGCAAAGAGTGGCAGCTTTGGGATTGTCATACGTGTATGTGGCAGCCCTGTGATCCCACCCCTGAGCCAAGT